CATATTATTAAATGCATTGTTTTTATCAACAATTTTATCTTGACCCCCTGCACCAATTTTAGGACCAACTTTTAAAAGGCACCGTGATTCATCAAACACAAAACAGATACGTAATATATTCTTGTCCATAGTAATTCCACGAATTTTAGGATAAATTTTGATGACATTATTATAACTACACAAAATTGCTGTTGGGTCAGCATTTTTAAAGGTACTTTTCAATTTCTCCATATGTGATATGATATCTTGCCAAAATTTTTGGGCATCTTCCTGACTTATATAATTACTTTCCCTAGCAATTTGCAAATGATACCAATCAATTGAACTTATACCAGGTGTTTCTGCCAGTTTGTCCAGACAAGCAATAAAGTATGCAACATAATGTAATTCATCATAGGAACTGAGTAAATATTCTGTTATGTGTGATGTGGGTGGGTAACCAAATCCAGAAAGTCAAAGGCAGCAATAAAAAATATAAACACCTGATTCTGCTAATTGTTTTACCATTCGTGACTTACCCATGCCACTTGCCTGTATAACTGAAGTATAGTTCGCATACATTGTTAGTTTTCTCCAATTTCTGACATTATTATCTAAAATCTTTAAAACATATTTTATGAAATCATGTGGATCATGGTAATCACAAAAAAATGCAGCATCTACAGTAGTAGTATTTGATGTTTCCATTGCAGCAGGAATTTGAATTTGACTATTATCAACTGTGAATTAAAGGATGGAAAGAACCAATTTAGTTACTTTTCATAAATGTAAACATTAAAAATTGATCTTACCTGTTTCTTTTTCAATTAATTCTTTTAATGAGCAGAAAAATCAAAGAATTGATTTGGGATAAAATTTGACAAATGAATAAAGATTGTATATTTAATTATAAAAGATGGAATAATAAGCAACAAAAGAAAAATATAAATTAGTTAAAGTTGTAAATGGTAGTTCAAATATTCCAGACAAACAAATAAATAAAATAAAACAAATAAATAAATGAACAAAAATAATTTTTTTTTTACGCAATTTGTTCATTACCTTCCCCTCCTCCACCGAATTTCACCAATGCATCCTGCAATTTCATCACTTGGTCTCCCCATTTCTTCTTCTCCTTCTCCAATTTTTCTTTTTCTTTTATTAAGCACTCCCTTTCCTCACACCCTTCTTCACCTCCTCTCCACAATTCCTTCAATCTCTCTCCCCATTCCTTCTCCCACTCCTCCAACTTCTTCATTGCCTCTTCGAACCACCCTTCTGCCTTCAACAATCTCTCTTCTGCTTTTTCCAATTGTTCTTTAATATCCTTGTATGTTGCCATTTTTTTAAAATTAAAAAAAAGATTTTAAAATAAAAAAATTTTTTTTTATTGATTTAGATTGTAATTGTTACAATTCTATAAATAATCTTTTCTTTTCTTAGATAAGCCTCCAGTGTCTGAGTATCATTTATTTTGAAAATATAAGGTGCAATTTTCTCACCTTGTTCCTTTTTCAAAATACTTCTAATGGTGCTGTAATTTTTGGGTTCCATGGTAGATCTGATGTAAATGAGTTTCATATTAACTATTTTTATATAGGGATATTTCTATATATCAAATGGGATATTATAAAACTGTTAATTATTATCACATTACAAATGACTAAATTTT